TCTACAGAGTGACTACCCTACAGAGTGACTAGTCTACAGAGTGACTACCCTACAGAGTTACTACTCTACAGAGTGACTATTCTACAGAGTGACTACTCTACAGAGTGACTACCCTACAGAATGACTACTCTACAGAGTGACTACTCTACAGAGTGACTACCCTACAGAGTGACTACTCCAGAGTGACTACTCTGCAGAGTGACTACTCTGCAGAGTGACTACTCTACAGAGTGACTAGTCTACAGAGTGACTACCCTACAGAGTGACTAGTCTACAGAGTGACTACCCTACAGAGTTACTACTCTACAGAGTGACTATTCTACAGAGTGACTACTCTACAGAGTGACTACCCTACAGAATGACTACTCTACATAGTGACTACTCTACAGAGTGACTACCCTACAGAGTGACTACTCCAGAGTGACTACTCTGCAGAGTGACTACTCTACAGAGTGACTACCCTACAGAGTGACTACCCTACAGAGTGACTACTCTACAGAGTGACTACCCTACAGAGTGACTACTCTGCAGAGTGACTACTCTACAGAGTGACTACTCTACAGAATGACTAGTCTACAGAGTGACTACTCTACAGAGTGACTACTCTACAGAGTGACTACCCTACAGAGTGACTAACCTACAGAGTGACTACCCTAGAGTCACTACTCCACAGAGTGACTACTCTACAGAGTGACTACCCTACAGAGTGACTACTCCAGAGTGACTATTCTACAGAGTGACTACTCTACAGTGACTACTCTACAGAGTGACTACTCTACAGAGTGACTAGTCTACAGTGACTACCCTACAGAGTGAATACTCTACAGAGTGACTACTCTACAGAGTGACTACTCTACAGAGTGACTACTCTACAGAGTGACTACCCTACAGAGTGACTACTCCACAGAGTGACTACCCTACAGAGTGACTACTCTACAGAGTGACTACTCTACAGAGTGATTAGTCTACAGAGTGACTATCCTACAGAGTGACTACCCTACAGAGTGACTAGTCCGCAGACTGACTACTCTACAGAGTGACTACTCTACAGAGTGACTACTCTACAGAGTGACTACTCTACAGAGTGACTACCCTACAGAGTGACTACTCTACAGAGTGACTACCCTACAGAGTGACTACTCTACAGAGTGACTACCCTACAGAGTGACTAGTCTACAGAGTGACTACTCCACAGAGTGACTACCCTACAGAGTGACTACTCTACAGAGTGACTACTCCACAGAGTGACTACCCTACAGAGTGACTACTCTACAGAGTGACTACTCCACAGAGTGACTACTCTACAGAGTGACTACTCTACAGAGTGACTACTGTACAGAGTGACTACTCTACAGAGTGACTACTCCACAGAGTGACTACTCTACAGAGTGACTAGTCTACAGAGTGACTACTCTCTAGAGTAACTACCCTACAGAGTGACTACTCTACAGAGTGACTACTCTACAGAGTGACTACCCTACAGAGTGACTACTCCAGAGTGACTACTCTACAGAGTGACTACCCTACAGAGTGACTACTCTACAGAGTAACTACCCTACAGAGTGACTACTCTACAGAGTGACTACTCTACAGAGTGACTACCCTACAGAGTGACTACTCTACAGAGTGACTACCCTACAGAGTGACTACTCTACAGAGTGACTACTCCACAGAGTGACTACTCTACAGAGTAACTACTCTACAGAGTGACTACCCTACAGAGTGACTACTCCACAGAGTGACTACCCTACAGAGTGACTACTCCACAGAGTGACTACCCTACAGAGTGACTACTCTACAGAGTGACTACTCCACAGAGTGACTACCCTACAGAGTGACTACTCTACAGAGTGACTACTCCACAGAGTGACTACTCTACAGAGTGACTACTCTACAGAGTGACTACCCTACAGAGTGACTACTCTACAGAGTGACTACCCTACAGAGTGACTACTCTACAGAGTGACTACTCTACAGAGTGACTACCCTACAGAGTGACTACTCTACAGAGTGACCACTCTACAGAGTGACTACCCTACAGAGTGACTACCCTACAGAGTAACTACTCTACAGAGTGACTATTCTACAGAGTGACTACCCTACAGAGTAACTACCCTACAGAGTGACTATTCTACAGAGTGACTACCCTACAGAGTGACTACCCTACTTAGTGACTACTCTACAGAGTGACTACCCTACAGAGTGACTACTCTACAGAGTGACTACTCTACAGAGTGACTACCCTACAGAGTGACTACCCTACAGAGTGACTACCACTCTGTGTGTCTTGCTGTGGTTTGTGACTGCTGCTACAGTCTTTGTAACTTCAACTTAATCTCTAATTAGTAACTTTTAACCTAAGCAACGCGTCTTAATACTTAGGCTATGGGGCCGTCCATAAATGACGTCATGTACCGAGGAGGGAGAGGGGCTTTGAGAAAAATGACGTCACGAAAAAATGGGAAACTTTTAATGAACATTAATTGAATAGAATTGTAATGACAGCGCAGAATTTTTATTTATTTATAAATTTTAATCATTAACGATTTTTTTAAAAGTTACTGAGGCCGCCTTTAATTGGTTTCCATGAAGGACACTTATTGCTTCTCCACGGGAGGATGGAGAAGCATCAATTCTCAATTTTGAATTGGTTCATTCGGTAAAGTCACCACCACGTAGATAGGGAAACAATAAAATAATAAAAATATAAAACAATAAAATTATTATTCTTGAGTTCTTTGGGTAAAGTCACCACCACGTAGATAGGGAAACAATAAAATAATAAAAATATAAAACAATAAAATTATTATTCTTGAGTTCTTTGGGTAAAGTCACCACCACGTAGATAGGGAAACAATAAAATAATAAAAATATAAAACAATACAATTATTATTCTTGAGTTCTTTGGGTAAAGTCACCACCACGTAGATAGGGAAACAATAAAATAATAAAAATATAAAACAATACAATTATTATTCTTGGTTCTTTGGGTAAAGTCACCACCACGTAGAAGGGAAACAATAAAATAATAAAAATATAAAACAATAAAATTATTATTCTTGGTTCTTTCGGTAAAGTCACCACCACGTAGATAGGGAAACAATAAAATAATAAAAATATAAAACAATAAAATTATTATTCTTGGTTCTTTGGGTAAAGTCACCACCACGTAGATAGGGAAACATTAAAATAATAAAAATATAAAACAATAAAATTATTATTCTTGGTTCTTTGGGTAAAGTCACCACCACGTAGATAGGGAAACAATAAAATAATAAAAATATAAAACAATAAAATTATTATTCTTGGTTCTTTCGGTAAAGTCACCACCACGTAGATAGGGAAACAATAAAATAATAAAAATATAAAACAATAAAATTATTATTCTTGAGTTCTTTGGGTAAAGTCACCACCACTTAGATAGGGAAACAATAAAATAATATAAAAATATAAAAAATACAATTCTCACGACGTTTCTACTACAACGCGAGAAGCAATCATCATCATCAGGCGTGAAAACCACAGCTAGAATAAAATAATAAAAATTTTAAACCAATAAAATTCTCACGACGTTTCTGAAATAGAGCAGCGGGATGACGTCATCCTTCTAGTTAAATGATGACGTCATCCTGCTGAGAGAGAGAGAGGGGGGGTCAAAAATCCGACAAAATCGCGTGACGTCATTTACGTACGTCCCCACCTATTATACATTGCCACAGCTGATGTGTTTGCGCTTCCTATCAGTCGGTTTTCGTGTGCCTGCGGCGTTGTTGTATAAACGTTCTGACCCCGTGACCCTCTATGTTTAATAAAGAGCTTTAGAGATTTTCGGATTTTCTCAATCAGTTTAACGCGCAGGGTCACGTGACACCAACCTTCATCGCCCCGCCCCTTCTCCGCGCGTCCGGCGCCCCGCCCATTAACGATCCCCGCCCCCTTCCCTTACGCCCCGCCCCCCTCCGCTTGGGCCCTGGGGGCCCCGCCCATTCCCCTGCCCCGCCCCACGCCCCCCAAACGCCTCCAAACTCGTCACGTGACCCGCGCACCGGAAGTTTGGGGCTCGCGCTGAGCGGAAGTGGTCGCGGGCTCGCGCGCGTGACACGAGCAGACACACACAGAGACACACACACAGACACACAGAGACACACAGAGACACAGAGACACACAGAGAGACACAGACACACACAGAGAGACAGAGACACACAGAGAGACACAGACACAGAGACACACACACACAGAGAGACACAGACACAGAGACACACACACACACACAGACACACAGAGACACACAGACACACACAGAGACACACAGAGAGACATACACAGAGACACACACAGAGACACACAGAGAGACATACACAGAGACACACACAGAGACACACACACGGAGACACACACAGAGACACACACACGGAGACACACACACGGAGACACACACAGACACACACAGAGAGACACACAGACACACAGAGACACACAGACACACACAGAGACACACAGAGAGACACAGAGACACACAGAGACACACAGAGAGACACAGAGACACACAGAGAGACACAGAGACACACAGAGAGACACAGAGACACACAGAGAGACACAGACACAGAGACACACACACACAGAGAGACACAGACACAGAGACACACACACACAGACACACAGAGACACACACACAGAGACACACAGAGAGACATACACAGAGACACACACAGAGACACACAGAGAGACATACACAGAGACACACACAGAGACACACACACGGAGACACACACAGAGACACACACACGGAGACACACACACGGAGACACACACACACACACAGACACACACAGAGAGACACACAGACACACAGAGACACACAGACACACACAGAGACACACAGAGACACAGAGACACACAGAGAGACACAGAGACACACAGAGAGACACAGAGACACACAGAGAGACACAGAGACACACAGAGAGACACACACAGAGAGCCACACACAGAGAGACAGACACAGAGACACACAGGGAGACACACAGACACACACAGAGACACACAGGGAGACACAGAGACACACAGACACACAGAGACACACAGAGAGACACACAGGGAGACGAGAGAGACACCTGGGACGATGTCTCTCGTCACGGCCGACTGGAACCCAATGGGGGACAAGTTTTATAGGTGAGGATAACTCACCACTCACTCACCACACACTCACCACACACTCACTCACTCATCCATTCACTCACTCACTCACCACTCACTCACCACACACTCACCACTCACTCACCACTCACTCACCACACACTCACCACACACTCACCACACACTCACCACTCACTCACCACTCACTCACTCATCCATTCACTCACTCACTCACCACACACTCACTCATCCATTCACTCACTCACTCACCCACTCACTCACCACACACTCACTCACCCACTCACTCATCCATTTACTCACTCACCCACTCACTCACCCACTCACCACTCACTCACCACTCACCACACACTCACCCACTCACCACTCACTCATTCACCCACTCACTCATCCATTCACTCACCCACCCGCTCACTCACCCACTCACCACTCACTCACCACACACTCACCCACTCACTCACTCACCCACTCACCACACACTCACCACACACTCACTCACCCACTCACTCATCCATTCACTCACTCACTCACCCACTCACCACTCACTCACCACACACTAACCCACTCACTCACCCACTCACCACTCACTCACTCACCCACTCACTCATCCATTCACTCACCCACTCACCATTCACTCACTCACCACTCACCACACACTCACCCACTCACTCACTCACCCACTCACCACTCACTCACCACTCACCCACTCACCCACACACTCACCCACTCACTCACTCACCCACTCACCACTCACCCACTCACTCACACACTCACCACTCACTCACCCACTCACTCATCCATTCACTCACCACTCACCACACACTCACCCACTCACTCACTCACCCACTCACCACTCACTCATCCACTCACTCACCCACTCACTCATCCATTCACTCACCCACCCGCTCACTCACCCACTCACCACTCACTCACCACACACTCACCCACTCACTCACCCACTCACCACTCACTCACCACTCACACACCCACTCACACACCCACTCACCCACCCACTCACTCACCCACCCACTCACCCACTCACTCACCCACTCACTCACCCACTCACTCACTACTCACTCACCACTCACTCACCACACACTCACCCACCCACTCACTCACCCACCCACTCACTCACACACTCACTCACTCACACACTCACTCACCCACTCACTCACCCACTCACTCACACACCCATTCACTCACCCACTCACCCACTCACTCACCCACTCACTCACCCACACACTCACCACTCACTCACCACTCACTCACCCTCACACTCACCCCCACACTCACCCACACACTCACCCACACACCACACACCCACACACCACACACCCACACACTCACCCACACACCACACACACTCACCCACACACTCACCCACACACCACACACACTCACCCACACACTCACACACTCACCCACACACTCACCCACACACTCACCTACTCACTCACCACTCACTCACCCACTCACTCACTCGCCACTCTCCCACACACTCACCCACACACTCACCCACACACTCACTCACACACTCACCCACTCACCCACACACTCACCCACACATTCACCACTCACCCACACACTCACTCACACACTCACCCACTCACCCACACACTCACCCACACACTCACCACTCACCCACACACTCACCACTCACTCACCCACACGCTCACCCACACACTCACCAATCACGCACACACTCACCCACTCACTCACCACTCACTCACCACTCACTCACCCCCACACTCACATCCACACTCACCCACACACTCACCCACACACTCACCACACACCCACACACTCACCCACACACCCACACACTCACTCACACACTCACCCACACACTCACCCACACACTCACCACTCACCCACACACTCACCACTCACTCACCCACACACTCACCAATGACTCACCCACACACTCACCAATGACTCACACACTCACCCATTTACCCACTCACTCACCCACACACTCACCACTCACTCACCACTCATTCACCCCCACACTCACCCCCACACTCACCCCCACACTCACCCACACACTCACCCACACACTCACCACACACGCACACCACACACACACCACACACACACCACACACACACCACACACACTCATCCACACACTCACCCATTAACCCACACACTCACCCACACACTCACTCACACACTCACCCACACACTCACCCACACACTCACCCACACACCACACTCACCCACACACTCACCCACTCACCCACACACTCACCCACACACTCACTCACACACTCACCCACACACTCACCCACACACCACACACACTCACCCACACACTCACCCACACACCACACACACTCACCCACACACTCACCCACACACCACACACACTCACCCACACACTCACCCACACACTCACCCACACACCACACATACTCACCCACACACCACACACACTCACCCACACACTCACCCACACACTCACCCACACACCACACACACTCACCCACACACTCACCCACACACCACACACACACTCACCCACACACTCACCCACTCACCCACACACTCACCCACACACCACACACACTCACCCACACACTCACCCACTCATCCACACATTCACCTACACACTCACACACTCTCCCACACACTCACCCACACATTCACACACTCACCCACACACTCACCCACACACTCACCCACACACCACACACACACTCACCCACACACTCACCCACTCACCCACACACTCACCCACACACTCACCCACACACTCACCCACACACTCACACACTCACACACTCACCACACACACTCACACACTCACCCACACACTCACCCACACACTCACCCACACACTCACCCACACACCACACACACACTCACCCACACACTCACCCACTCACTCACCCACTCACCCACACACTCACCCACACACTCACCCACTCACTCACCCACTCACCCACACACTCACCCACACATTCACACACTCACCCACACACTCACCCACTCACTCACACACTCACCCACACACTCACCAACACACTCACTCACACACACACCCACACACTCATCCACACACTCACCCACACCCTCACTCACACACACACCCACACACTCACCCACTCACTCACCCACTCACCCACACACTCACCCACTCACTCACTCACACACTCACCCACACACTCACCCACACAGTCACCCACACATTCACCCACACACTCACCCACACACTCACCCACACACTCACCAACACACTCACTCACACACACACCCACACACTCATCCACACACTCACCCACACACTCATTCACACACTCACCCACACACTCACTCACACACACACCCACACACTCACTCACACACTCACCAACACACTCACTCACACACACACCCACACACTCACCCACACACTCACTCACACACTCACCCACACACACACCCACACACTCACCCACCCACTCACCCACTCACCCACACACCCACACACTCACCCACACACTCACACACTCACACACCCACACACCCACACACACACCCACACACTCACACACTCACACACCCACACACACACCCACACACTCACCCACACACTCACCACTGACCCCCCCATGACCCCCCCATGACCCCATCATGACCCTCCCATGACCCTCCCATGACCCCCCCCATGGCCCCCCCATGACCCTCCCATGACCCCATCATAACCACCCCATGACCCCCCATGACCCCATCATGACCCTCCCATGACCCCCCATGACCCCCCCATGACCCCCCCATGACCCCCCCATGACCCCCCATGACCCCCCATGACCTCCCCATGACCCCCTCATGACCCCGCCATGACCCCCCCATGACCCTCCCATGACCCCCCATGACCCCCCCATGACCCTCCCATGACCCCCCCATGACCCCCCATGACCCCATCATGACCCTCCCATGACCCCCCCATGACCCCATCATGACCCTCCCATGACCCTCCCATGACCCCCCATGACCCCCCCATGACCCCTCCATGACCCCATCATGACCCCCCATGACTCCCCCCATGACCCCCCCATGACCCCCCCATGACCCCCCATGACCCCCCCATGACCCCAACATGACCCTCCCATGACCCCCCCATGACCCCATCATGACCCCCCCATGACCCCCCCATGACCCCCCATGACCCCATCATGACCCCCCCATGACCCCAGGCGTGAGGAGCTGTACTGCATGGCCTGGGCCGACCGCTTTGAGGTCAAGGGTCACCTGGTGGCGGCCGCTCAGCACGGCGGCCCTGTGGGTGAGTGGGGGCAGCGGCAGGGGCAGTGACATCATCAGTGACGTCATCATCAGTGACGTCATCAGTGACATCAGTAAAATCATGATCAGTAACATCATCATCAGTGACATTGTCATCAGTGACATCATCAGTAACATCATCAGTGATATCATCATCAGTGACATCATTAGTGACATCATCATCGTCATCATCAGTGACATCATCAGTGACATCATGATCAGTAACATCATCAGTAACATCATCATCAGTGACATTTTCATCAGTGACATCATCATCAGTAACATCACCAGTGACATCATCATCAGTGACGTCATCAGTGACATCATCATCAGTGACATCATCAGTGACATCATCATCAGTAACATCATCAGTGACATCATCATCAGTGACATCATCATCAGTGACATCATCATCAGTAACATCATCAGTGACATTATCAGTGACGTCATCAGTGACATCATCATCAGTGACGTCATCATCAGTGACGTCATCATCAGTGACGTCATCATCAGTGATGTCATCAGTGGCATAATAATCAGTGACGTCATCATCAGTGACATCATCAGTAGCATCATCATCAGTGACATCATCAGTAACATCATCAGTAACATCATCATCAGTAACATCATCAGCAGTAACATCATCAGTAACATCATCAGTGACATCATCATCAGTGACATCATCAGTGACGTCATCAGTGACATCATCATCAGTGACGTCACCATAAGTGACATCATCATCGGTGACGTCACCGATGATGACGTCATCATCAGTGGCCTGACCTCCGCTTTCCTCCTGGCCCGCGTAGCGCTGATGAAGGATGATCAGGAGAAGTTATCAGTGCGACCCACAGTCACCATTTACTCGTGCTCAGGATCAATACTCTCGTCATTCAAGGTGACCACCACCATCACTACCACCATCACTACTACCATCACTACCATCACTACCACCACTACCATCACTACCATCACCACCACCACCATCACTACCACCATCACTACCACCATCACTACCATCACTACCACCATCACTACCATCACTACCACCACTACCATCACTACCATCACCACCACCACCATCACTACCATCACTACCATCATCACCACCATCATCACCACCACAGTCACCATCTACTCGTGCTCAGGATCAATACTCTCATCATTCAAGGTGACCACCACCATCACTACCATCACTACCACCATCACTACCACCATCATCACCACCACCACCATCACTACCACCACTACCATCACTACCACCATCACTACCACCATCATCACCACCACCACCACCATCACCACCATCACCACCATCACTACCACCACCACCATCACCACCATCATCACCACCACCACCATCACTACCACCACCACCATCACCACCACCACCACCATCACCACCACCATCACCACCATCACCACCACCATCACCACCATCACCACCACCACCACCATCACCACCACCACCATCACTACCACCACCACCATCACCACCATCACCACCATCACCACCACCATCATCACCACCATCACCACCACCATCACTACCATCACTACCACCACTACCACCATCACCACCATCACCACCACCACCACTACCACCACCATCACCACCACCATCACCACCACCATCACTACCATCACCACCATCACCACCACCACCACCACTACCACCACCATCACCACCACCATCACCACCACCATCACTACCATCACCACCATCACCACCACCATCACCACCACCATCACCACCACCATCACCACCACCATCACCACCATCACTACCATCACCACCACCATTACCATCATCACCACCACCATCACCATCATCACCACCACCATCACCATCACCACCATCACCACCACCATCACCACCATCACCATCACCACCATCACCACCACCATCACCATCACCACTACCACCACCATCACCACCACCATCACCACCACCACCATCACCACTACCACCACCATCACCACCACCATCACCACCACCATCACCACCATCACCACCATCACCATCACCACCATCACCACCACCATCACCAGCACCATCACCACCATCACCACCATCACCACCACCACCATCACCACCATCACCACCACCACCATCACCACCATCATCACCACCACCATCACCACCATCATCACCACCACCATCACCACCACCATCACCACCATCACCACCATCACCACCACCATCACCATCATCACCACCATCATCACCACCATCACCACCATCACCACCACCATCACCACCACCATCACCACCATCACCATCACCACCACCACCATCACCACCACCATCACCAGCACCATCACCACCATCACCACCATCACCACCACCACCATCACCACCATCATCACCATCACCACCATCACCACCACCACCATCACCACCATCATCACCACCACCATCACCACCATCATCACCACCACCATCACCACCACCATCACCACCATCACCACCACCATCACCATCATCACCACCATCATCACCACCATCACCACCATCACCACCACCATCACCACCACCATCACCACCACCATCACCACCATCACCACCATCACCACCACCATCACCATCATCACCACCATCATCACCACCATCACCACCATCACCACCACCATCACCACCATCACCATCATCACCACCATCACCACCATCACCACCATCACCACCATCACCACCATCACCATCATCACCACCATCACCACCATCACCATCATCACCACCATCACCACCATCACCATCATCACCACCATCATCACCATCATCACCACCATCACCACCATCACCATCATCACCACCATCACCACCATCACCACCACCACCACCACCATCACCACCACCACCACTACCACCACCATCACCACCATCACCACCACCATCACCACCACTACCACCACCACCATCACCACCATCACCACCACCACTACCACCACCACCATCACCACCATCACCACCATCATCACCACCACCACCCCCCCCATCCGCTGTGTGACCGCTAAATTGTGTCACGCCCCCCCCGCTGCATCGCCACGCCCCCCCGCTCCGTCACTACGCCCCCCCGCTGCTTCGCCACGCCCCCCGCTGCGTCGCCACGCCCCCCCGCTGCGTCGCCACGCCCCCCCGCTGCGTCGCCACGCCCCCCCGCTATGTCGCCACGCCCCCCCGCTGCATCGCCACACCCCCCCCCGCTGCGTCGCCACACCCCCCCCCCGCTGCGTGACCACGCCCCCCCCGCTGCGTGGCCACGCCCCCCAGTGGAAGAGTGGGCGCGTGCTGGCTCTGGGCTGGACCCACCGTGAGGAGCTGATGGTGGTGCAGGAGGATGGACAGGTGCTGGTGTACGACCAGCACGGAACCTTCATCCGCACCTTCACCATGGGGACTGTAAGTCACCACCACTACTAGTACCACTACTACCACTAGTACACTAGTAGTACACTACTACACTACTACTAGTACACTACTACTACTACACTAGTACTACTACAGGTGCTGGTGTACGACCAGCACGGAACCTTCATCCGCACCTTCACCATGGGGACTGTAAGTCACCACCACTACTAGTACCACTACTACCACTAGTACACTAGTAGTACACTACTACACTACTACTAGTACACTACTACTACTACACTAGTACTACTACAGGTGCTGGTGTACGACCAGCACGGAACCTTCATCCGCACCATCACCATGGGGACCGTGAGTCACCACCACTACTAGTACCACTACTACCACTAGTACACTAGTAGTACACTACTACACTACTACTAGTACACTACTACTACTACACTAGTACTACTACAGGTGCTGGTGTACGACCAGCACGGAACCTTCATCCGCACCTTCACCATGGGGACTGTAAGTCACTACCACTACTAGTACCACTACTAGTACTAGTGGTACACTACTAGTACACTACTAGTACTAGTAGTACACTAGTAGTACTAGTACACTAGTACACTACTACTACTACAGGTGCTGGTGTACGACCAGCACGGAACCTTCATCCGCACCTTCACCATGGGGACTGTAAGTCACTACCACTACTAGTACCACTACTAGTACTAGTGGTACACTACTAGTACACTACTACTACACTAGTACTACTACAGGTGCTGGTGTACGACCAGCACGGAACCTTCATCCGCACCTTCACCATGGGGACTGTGAGTCACTACCACTACTAGTACACTAGTACTACACTAGTACTACACTAGTAGTACACTACTAGTACACTACTACACTACTACTAGTACACTACTACTACTACACTAGTACTACTACAGGTGCTGGTGTACGACCAGCACGGAACCTTCATCCGCACCTTCACCATGGGGACTGTGAGTCACCGCTACTACCACTAGTACTAGTACTAGTGGTACTAGTACTAGTACACTACTACTACTACAGGTGCTGGTGTACGACCAGCACGGAACCTTCATCCGCACCTTCACCATGGGGACCGTGAGTCACCACCACTACTACCACTACTACTAGTAGTACACTAGTAGTACTAGTACACTACTACACTACTACTACTACACTACTACAGGTGCTGGTGTACGACCAGCACGGAACCTTCATCCGCACCTTCACCATGGGGACCGTGAGTCACTACCACTACTAGTACCACTACTAGTACTAGTGGTACACTACTAGTACACTACTAGTACTAGTAGTACACTAGTAGTACTAGTACACTAGTACACTACTACTACTACAGGTGCTGGTGTACGACCAGCACGGAACCTTCATCCGCACCTTCACCATGGGGACTGTAAGTCACTACCACTACTAGTACCACTACTAGTACTAGTGGTACACTACTAGTACACTACTAGTACTAGTAGTACACTAGTAGTACTAGTACACTAGTACACTACTACTACTACAGGTGCTGGTGTACGACCAGCACGGAACCTTCATCCGCACCTTCACCATGGGGACTGTAAGTCACTAGTACTACTAGTACCACTACTACCACTAGTACACTAGTAGTACACTACTACACTACTACTAGTACACTACTACACTACTACTAGTACACTACTACTACACTACTACTACTACAGGTGCTGGTGTACGACCAGCACGGAACCTTCATCCGCACCTTCACCATGGGGACTGTAAGTCACTACCACTACTAGTACCACTACTAGTACTAGTGGTACACTACTAGTACACTACTAGTACTAGTAGTACACTAGTAGTACTAGTACACTAGTACACTACTACTACTACAGGTGCTGGTGTACGACCAGCACGGAACCTTCATCCGCACCTTCACCATGGGGACTGTAAGTCACTACCACTACTAGTACCACTACTAGTACTAGTGGTACACTACTAGTACACTACTAGTACTAGTAGTACACTAGTAGTACTAGTACACTAGTACACTACTACTACTACAGGTGCTGGTGTACGACCAGCACGGAACCTTCATCCGCACCTTCACCATGGGGACTGTAAGTCACTACCACTACTAGTACCACTACTAGTACTAGTGGTACACTACTAGTACACTACTAGTACTAGTAGTACACTAGTAGTACTAGTACACTAGTACACTACTACTACTACAGGTGCTGGTGTACGACCAGCACGGAACCTTCATCCGCACCTTCACCATGGGGACTGTAAGTCACTACCACTACTAGTACCACTACTAGTACTAGTGGTACACTACTAGTACACTACTAGTACTAGTAGTACACTAGTAGTACTAGTACACTAGTACACTACTACTACTACAGGTGCTGGTGTACGACCAGCACGGAACCTTCATCCGCACCTTCACCATGGGGACTGTAAGTCACTACCACTACTAGTACCACTACTAGTACTAGTGGTACACTACTAGTACACTACTAGTACTAGTAGTACACTAGTAGTACTAGTACACTAGTACACTACTACTACTACAGGTGCTGGTGTACGACCAGCACGGAACCTTCATCCGCACCTTCACCATGGGGACTGTAAGTCACTACCACTACTAGTACCACTACTAGTACTAGTGGTACACTACTAGTACACTACTAGTACTAGTAGTACACTAGTAGTACTAGTACACTAGTACACTACTACTACTACAGGTGCTGGTGTACGACCAGCACGGAACCTTCATCCGCACCTTCACCATGGGGACTGTAAGTCACTACCACTACTAGTACCACTACTAGTACTAGTGGTACACTACTAGTACACTACTAGTACTAGTAGTACACTAGTAGTACTAGTACACTAGTACACTACTACTACTACAGGTGCTGGTGTACGACCAGCACGGAACCTTCATCCGCACCTTCACCATGGGGACTGTAAGTCACTACCACTACTAGTACCACTACTAGTACTAGTGGTACACTCACTAGTACACTACTAGTACTAGTAGTACACTAGTAGTACTAGTACACTAGTACACTACTACTACTACAGGTGCTGGTGTACGACCAGCACGGAACCTTCATCCGCACCTTCACCATGGGGACTGTAAGTCACTACCACTACTAGTACCACTACTAGTACTAGTGGTACACTACTAGTACACTACTAGTACTAGTAGTACACTAGTAGTACTAGTACACTAGTACACTACTACTACAGGTGCTGGTGTACGACCAGCACGGAACCTTCATCCGCACCTTCACCATGGGGACTGTAAGTCACCACTACCAGTACCACTAGTACCACTACTACTAGTACTAGTGGTACTAGTACACTACTACTACACTACTACTACTACAGGTGCTGGTGTACGACCAGCACGGAACCTTCATCCGCACCTTCACCATGGGGACCGTAAGTCACCAGTACTAGTACACTACTAGTACACTAGTAGTACTAGTAGTACAGTACTAGTACACTACTAGTACTAGTAGTGTACTAGTACACTACTACACTACTACTACACTACTACACTACTATTACACTACTACTACTACACTACTACTATACTTCTACACTACCACTACTACTACACTACTACTACACTACTACACTACCACTACTAGTACACTACTACTACTACTACACTACTACACTACTACTACACTACTACTACACTACTACACAACTACTACTACTACACTACTACCACCACTACTACTACTACACTACTACTACTACACTACTACTACACTACTACTACTACACTACTACTACTACACTACTACTACTACACTACTACTACACTACTACTACTACTACACTACTACTACACTACTACACTACCACTACTAGTACACTACTACTACTACACTACTACTGCACTACTACTACACTACTACTACTACACTACTACTACTACACTACTACTACTACACTACTAATACTACACTACTACTACACTACTACTACAGGTGCTGGTGTATGACCAACATGGAACCTTCATCCGCACATTCACCATGGGTAGTCTCTGTGTGTCTCCTTGTGTGTCTCCCTGTGTCTCCCTGTGTCTCCCTGTGTGTCTCCGCGTGTCTCCCTGTGTGTCTCCCTGTGTCTCTCTGTGTGTCTCTCTGTGTCTCCCTGTGTGTCTCTGTGTGTCTCCCTGTGTGTCTCCCTGTGTGTCTCCCTGTGTGTCTACCTGTGTCTCTGCGTGTCTCAGGACGTGAAGACTCTCTGTGTGTCTCTGTGTCTCTGTCTCCCTGCGTGTCTCAGGATGTGAAGACTGTGTCTCTGTGTTTCTCCCTGTGTGTCTCCCTGTGTGTCTCTGTGTGTCTCCCTGTCTCCCTGTGTGTCTCAGGACGTGAAGACTCTGTGTGTCTCTGTGTCTCCCTGTGTGTCTCCCTGCGTGTCTCAGGACGTGAAGACTCTCTGCGTTGTCTCTGTGTCTCTCTGTGTGTCTCCCTGTGTGTCTCTGTGTGTCTCCCTGTCTCCCTGTGTGTCTCAGGACGTGAAGACTCTGTGTGTCTCTGTGTCTCCCTGTGTGTCTCCCTGCGTGTCTCAGGACGTGAAGACTCTCTGCGTTGTCTCTGTGTCTCTCTGTGTGTCTCCCTGTGTCTCCCTGTGTGTCTCTCTGTGTCTCCCTGTGTGTCTCCCTGTGTGTCTCCCTGTGTGTCTCTGCGTGTCTCAGGACGTGAAGACTCTCTGTGTGTCTCCCTGTGTGTCTCTCTGTGTGTCTCCCTGTGTGTCTCCCTGTGTGTCTCTCTGTGTGTCTCCCTGTGTGTCTCCCTGTGTGTCTCTGCGTGTCTCAGGACGTGAAGACTCTGCGTGCTGTCTCCGCGTGTCTCCCTGTGTGTCTCTGTGTGTCTCTGTGTGTCTCCCTGTGTGTCTCTGTGTGTCTCTGTGTGTCTCCCTGTGTGTCTCCCTGTGTGTCTCTGTGTGTCTCCCTGTGTCTCCCTGTGTGTCTCTGTGTGTCTCTCTGTGTCTTTCTGTGTGTCTCTGTGTGTCTCCCTGTGTGTCTCTGTGTGTCTCTGTGTGTCTCTGTGTCTCCCTGTGTGTCTCTGTGTGTCTCAGGATGTGAAGACTCTCTGTGCTGTCCCTGTGTGTCTCCCTGTGTGTCTCCCTGTCTCCCTGTGTGTCTCTGCGTGTGTCTCCCTGTGTCTCTGTGTGTCTCTGTGTCTCCCTGTGTGTCTCTGCGTGTGTCTCCCTGTGTCTCTGTGTGTCTCTGTGTCTCCCTGTGTGTCTCTGCGTGTCTCAGGACGTGAAGACTCTGCGTGCTGTCTCCGCGTGTGTCTCTGTGTGTCTCCCTGTGTGTCTCCCTGTGTGTCTCCCTGCGTGTCTCTGTGTGTCTCTGTGTTGTCTCAGGACGTGGAGACTCTGCGTGCTGTCTCTGTGTCTCCCTGTGTGTCTCTGCGTGTCTCAGGACGTGAAGACTCTGCGTGCTGTCTCCGCGTGTGTCTCTGTGTGTCTCCCTGTGTGTCTCTGTGTGTCTCCCTGTGTGTCTCCCTGTGTGTCTCCCTGCGTGTCTCTGTGTGTCTCTGTGTTGTCTCAGGACGTGGAGACTCTGCGTGCTGTCTCTGTGTCTCCCTGTGTGTCTCTGCGTGTCTCAGGACGTGAAGACTCTCTGTGTCTCTGTGTGTCTCTGTGTGTCTCCCTGTCTCCCTGCGTGTCTCAGGACGTGAAGACTCTCTGTGTGTCTCTCTCTGTGGGTCTCAGGACGTGAATACTCTGCGTGCTGTCTCCGCGTGTGTCTCTGTGTGTCTCTGTGTGTCTCAGGACGTGAAGACTGTCTCTGTGTTTCTCCCTGTGTGTCTCCCTGTGTGTCTCTGTGTCTATGTCTCCCTGCGTGTCTCAGGACGTGAAGACTCTGCGTGCTGTCTCCCTGTGTGTCTCTGTGTCTCCCTCTGTGTCTCCCTGTGTGTCTCCCTGTGTGTCTCTCTGTGTGTCTCCCTGTGTGTCTCTGCGTGTCTCAGGACGTGAAGACTCTCTGTGTGTCTCTGTGTGTCTCCCTGTCTCCCTGTGTGTCTCTGTGTGTCTCTGTGTGTCTCCCTGTGTGTCTCTGTGTGTCTCCCTGTCTCCCTGTGTGTCTCTGTGTGTCTCTGTGTGTCTCCGTGTGTCTCCCTGTGTGTCTCCCTGTGTGTCTCTCTGTCTCCCTGCATGTCTCAGGACGTGAAGACTCTCTGTGTGTCTCTCTCTGTGTGTCTCAGGACGTGAAGACTCTGTGTGTCTCTCTCTGTGTGTCTCCCTGTGTCTCCCTGTGTGTCTCCCTGTGTGTCTGCGTGTCTCAGGACGTGAAGACTCTGCGTGCTGTCTCTGTGTCTCTGTGTCTCTGTGTGTCTGTGTGTGTCTCCCTGTGTGTCTGCGTGTCTCAGGACGTGAAGACTCTCTGTGTCTCTGTGTCTCTGTGTCTCTGTGTGTCTGTGTGTCTCAGGACGTGAAGACTCTGCGTGCTGTCTCCGCGTGTGTCTCTCTGTGTGTCTCTGTGTGTCTCCCTGTGTGTCTCTGTGTCTCTGTGTGTCTCTGTGTCTCCCTGTGTGTCTCTGTGTCTCTGTGTCTCCCTGTGTGTCTCTGTGTCTCCCTGTGTGTCTCTGTGTCTCTGTGTCTCCCTGTGTGTCTCTGTGTCTCCCTGTGTGTCTCTGTGTCTCCCTGTGTCTCTGCGTGTCTCAGGACGTGAAGACTCTCTGTGTCTCCCTGTGTGTCTCTGTGTCTGTGTCTCCCTGTGTGTCTCTGTGTGTCTCAGGACGTGAAGACTCTGCGTGCTGTCTCTGTGTCTCTGTGTCTCTCTGTGTGTCTCTGTGTGTCTCAGGACGTGAAGACTCTCTCTGTCTCCCTGTGTGTCTCTGTGTCTCTGTCTCCCCGTGTCTCTGCGTGTCTCAGGACGTGAAGACTCTGCGTGCTGTCTCTGTGTCTCCCTGTGTCTCTGTGTTGTCTCAGGACGTGAAGACTCTCTGTGTCTCTGTGTCTCTGTGTGTCTCAGGACGTGAAGACTCTCTCTGTCTCCCTGTGTGTCTCCCTGTGTGTCTCTGTGTGTCTCCCTCTGTGTCTCTGTGTGTCTCAGGACGTGAAGACTCTCTGTGTCTCTGTCTCCCTGTGTCTCAGGACGTGAAGACTCTGCGTGCTGTCTCCGCGTGTGTCTCCCTGTGTCTCTGTGTGTCTCCCTGTGTGTCTCTGTGTCTCTGTGTGTCTCTGTGTCTCTGTGTCTCCCTGTGTGTCTCTGTGTCTCTGTGTCTCCCTGTGTGTCTCTGTGTCTCCCTGTGTGTCTCTGTGTCTCCCTGTGTCTCCCTGTGTGTCTCTGTGTCTCCCTGTGTGTCTCTGTGTCTCTGTCTTCCTGCGTGTCTCAGGACGTGAAGACTCTCTCTGTCTCCCTGTGTGTCTCTGTGTCTCTGTCTCCCTGTGTTGTCTCCCTGTGTGTCTCAGGACGTGAAGACTCTGCGTGCTGTCTCCGCGTGTGTCTCTGTGTCTCTGTGTGTCTCTGCGTGTCTCCCTGTGTGTCTCAGGACGTGAAGACTCTCTGTGTCTCTGTGTGTCTCAGGACGTGAAGACTCTCTGTGTCTCTGTGTCTCTGTGTCTCTGTGTGTCTCAGGACGTGAAGACTCTCTGTGTCTCCCTGTGTGTCTCAGGACGTGAAGACTCTCTGTGTCTCTGTGTCTCTGTGTCTCTGTGTGTCTCAGGACGTGAAGACTCTCTGTGTCTCTGTGTGTCTCAGGACGTGAAGACTCTCTGTGTCTCCCTGTGTCTCAGGACGTGAAGACTCTCTGTGTCTCTGTGTCTCTGTGTCTCTGTGTGTCTCAGGACGTGAAGACTCTCTGTGTCTCCCTGTGTGTCTCAGGACATGAAGACTCTCTGTGTCTCTGTGTCTCCCTGTGTGTCTCAGGACGTGAAGACTCTGCGTGCTGTCTCCGCGTGTCTCCCTGTGTCTCTGTCTCCCTGTCTCCCTGCGTGTCTCTGTGTGTCTCCCTGTGTCTCTCTGTGTGTCTCAGGACGTGAAGACTCTCTGTGTCTCTGTGTGTCTCAGGACGTGAAGACTCTGCGTGCTGTCTCTGTGTGTCTCCCTGTGTCTCCCTGTGTGTCTCCCTGCGTGTCTCTGTGTGTCTCCCTCTGTCTCTCTGTGTGTCTCAGGACGTGAAGACTCTGCGTGCTGTCTCCGCGTGTGTCTCTGTGTCTCTGTGTGTCTCTGCGTGTCTCCCTGTGTGTCTCAGGACGTGAAGACTCTGCGTGCTGTCTCCGCGTGTGTCTCTGTGTCTCTGTGTGTCTCTGCGTGTCTCCCTGTGTGTCTCAGGACGTGAAGACTCTCTGTGTCTCTGTGTGTCTCTGTGTGTCTCAGGACGTGAAGACTCTGCGTGCTGTCTCCGCGTGTGTCTCTGTGTCTCTGTGTGTCTCTGTGTCTCTCTGTGTGTCTCAGGACGTGAAGACTCTCTCTGTCTCCCCGTGTCTCCCTGTGTGTCTCAGGACGTGAAGACCCTGCGTGCTGTCTCCGCGTGTGTCTTCGTGTCTCCGTCTGGGACGGGCCTTGCGCTGCTCACCGGCGGAGTCTCCAGATTTGTCCTCGCGGACAACACGGACAGCCTCAGGCTCCGGCGTCTCCCCGAGACACCGGGTACCTGGGGGGGGAGACACGGAGGGAGACACGGGGGTGGAGACACGGGGGGACACGGGGGGGGGAGACACGGGGGGAGACACGGGGGGAGACACGGGGGGACACGGGGGGGGGAGACACGGGGGGGAGACACGGGGGGGAGGACACGGGGAGAGAGAGACACGGGGGGGAGACACGGGGAGAGAGAGACACGGGGGAGAGACACGTGGGGAGAGAGACACGGGGGGACACGGGGGGGGGAGACACGGGGGGAGACACGTGGGGAGACACGGGGAGAGAGAGACACGGGGGGGAGACACGTGGGGAGAGAGACACGGGGGGAGAGAGACACGGGGGAGAGACACGTGGGGAGAGAGACACGTGGGGAGAGAGACACGGGGGGAGAGAGACACGGGGGAGAGACACGTGGGGAGAGAGACACGTGGGGAGAGAGACACGGGGGGAGTGAGACACGGGGGAGAGACACGTGGGGAGAGAGACACGTGGGGAGAGAGACACGGGGGGAGAGAGACACGGGGGAGAGACACGTGGGGAGACACGGGGAGAGAGACACGGGGGGAGCGAGACACGGGGGGAGACACGGGGGGACACGGGGGGGAGACACGGGGGGAGACACGGGGGGGGAGACACGAGGAGAGACACGTGGGGAGAGAGAGACACGTGGGGAGAGAGACACTGGGGGGATACACGGGGAGAGAGAGACACGCGGAGAGACACGGGGAGAGAGAGACACGGGGAGAGACACGTGGGGAGACACGGGGAGAGACACGGGGGGGGACACGGGGGGGGAGACACGAGGAGAGACACGTGGGGAGAGAGAGACACGTGGGGAGAGAGACACGGAGAGAGAGAGACACGGGCAGAGAGAGACACGGGGAGAGAGACACGTGGGGAGAGAGACACGTGGGGAGAGAGAGACACGGGGGAGTGAGACACGGGGGAGTGAGACACGGAGTGAGACACGGAGTGAGACACGGGGAGTGAGACACAGGGAGTGAGACACGGGGGAGTGAGACACGGAGTGAAGCATGGAGTGAGACACGGGGAGTGAGACACGGGGGAGTGAGACACAGGGAGTGAGACACGGGGGGAGTGAGACACGGGGGAGTGAGACACGGAGTGAGACACGGGGAGTGAGACACGGAGTGAGACACGTGGGAGTGAGACACGGGGAGTGAGACACGTGGGAGTGAGACACGTGGGAGTGAGACACGGGAGAGTGAGACACGGGGAGTGAGACACGGGGGGAGTGAGACACGTGGGGAGTGAGACACGTGGGGAGAGAGACAGGGGAGTGAGACACGGAGTGAGACACGTGGGAGTGAGACACCTGGGAGTGAGACACGGAGTGAGACACGGGGGAGTGAGGCACGGGGGAGTGAGACACGGAGTGAGACACGGAGTGAGACACGTGGGAGTGAGACACGGGGAGTGAGACACGGAGTGAGACACGTGGGGAGTGAGACACGGAGTGAGACACGTGGGAGTGAGACACGTGGGAGTGAGACACGGGGGAGTGAGACACGGAGTGAGACACGGGGGAGTGAGACACAGGGGAGTGAGACACGGAGTGAGACACGGGGAGTGAGACACCGGAGTGAGACACGGAGTGAGACACGGGGAGTGAGACACGGGGGAGTGAGACACGGGGGAGTGAGACACGTGGGAGTGAGACACGTGGGGAGTGAGACACGGAGTGAGACACGGAGTGAGACACGTGGGGAGTGAGACACGGGGGAGTGAGACACGGGAAGTGAGACACGTGGGAGTGAGATACGTGGGAGTGAGACACGTGGGGAGTGAGACACGGAGTGAGACACGGAGTGAGACACGTGGGAGTGAGACACGGAGTGAGACACGTGGGAGTCAGACACGGGGGAGTGAGACACGTGGGAGTGAGACACGGGGAGTGAGACACAGGGGAGTGAGACACGTGGGGAGTGAGACAGGGGAGTGAGACACGTGGGAGTGAGACACGTGGGAGTGAGACACGGGGAGTGAGACACGGAGTGAGACACAGGGGAGTGAGACACGGAGTGAGACACGTGGGAGTGAGACACGGGGGAGTGAGACACGTAGGAGTGAGACACGGGGGAGTAAGACACGGAGTGAGACACGTGGGAGTGAGACACGTGGGAGTGAGACACGTGGGAGTGAGACACGGAGTGAGACACGTGGGGAGTGAGACACAGGGGAGTGAGACACGTGGGGAGTGAGACACGTGGGAGTGAGACACAGGGGAGTGAGACACGGGGAGTGAGACACGGGGAGTGAGACACGTGGGGAGTGAGACACGGGGAGTGAGACACGTGGGAGTGAGACACAGGGTAGTGAGACACGTGGGGAGTGAGACACGTGGGAGTGAGACACAGGGGAGTGAGACACGGGGAGTGAGACACGTGGGAGTGAGACACGTGGGAGTGAGACGCGGAGTGAGACACATGGGAGTGAGACACGTGGGAGTGAGACACGGGGAGTGAGACACGGGGAGTGAGACACGTGGGAGTGAGACACAGGGTAGTGAGACACGTGGGGAGTGAGACACGTGGGGAGTGAGACACGTGGGAGTGAGACACGTGGGGAGTGAGACACGGGGAGTGAGACACGTGGGAGTAAGACACAGGGTAGTGAGACACGTGGGGAGTGAGACACGGAGTGAGACACGTGGGAGTGAGACACGTGGGGAGTGAGACACGGAGTGAGACACAGGGGAGTGAGACACGTGGGAGTGAGACACGTGGGGAGTGAGACACGTGGGAGTGAGACACGGGGGAGTGAGACACGGGGGAGTGAGACACGGAGTGAGACACGTGGGAGTGAGACACGGAGTGAGACACGGGGGAGTGAGACACGTGGGAGTGAGACACGGAGTGAGACACGGAGTGAGACACAGGGGAGTGAGACACGTGGGAGTGAGACACGTGGGAGTGAGACACGTGGGGAGTGAGACACGGGGAGTGAGACACGGGGAGTGAGACACGGAGTGAGACACGGGGAGTGAGACACGTGGGGAGTGAGACACGGAGTGAGACACGTGGGGGTGAGACACGGAGTGAGACACGGAGTGAGACACGTGGGAGTGAGACACATGGGGAGTGAAACACGGAGTGAGACACGGGGAGTGAGACACGTGGGGAGAGAGACACGTGGGAGTGAGACACGTGGGAGTGAGACACGTGAGAGTGAGACACGTGGGAGTGAGACACGTGGGAGTGAGACACGTGGGAGTGAGACACGGAGTGAGACACGTGGGAGTGAGACACGTGGGGAGTGAGACACGTGGGGAGTGAGACACGGAGTGAGACACGTGGGAGTGAGACACGGGGGAGTGAGACACGGAGTGAGACACGTGGGGAGTGAGACACGTGGGGAGTGAGACACGGAGTGAGACACGTGGGGAGTGAGACACGTGGGGAGTGAGACACGGAGTGAGACACGTGGGAGTGAGACACGTGGGGAGTGAGACACGGAGTGAGACACGTGGGGAGTGAGACACGTGGGGAGTGAGACACGGAGTGAGACACGTGGGAGTGAGACACGTGGGGAGTGAGACACGGAGTGAGATACGTGGGAGTGAGACACGTGGGAGTGAGACACGTGGGAGTGAGACACGCGGAGTGAGACACGGAGTGAGACACGTGGGAGGAGTGAGACACGTGGGAGTGAGACACGTGGGAGTGAGACACGTGGGAGTGAGACACGTGTGGAGTGAGACACGGGGGGAGTGAGACACGGGGATTGAGACATGTGGGGAGAGAGACACGTGGGGAGAGAGACACGTGGGAGTGAGACACATGGGGAGTGGAGACACGGAGTGAGACACGGGGTGAGAGAGACACGTGGGAGTGAGACACGACCGGGGGAGTGAGACACGTGGGAGTGAGACACCCTGGGAGTGGAGACACGGAGTGAGACACGGAGTGAGACACGTGGGGAGTGAGACCACAGGGGAGTGAGACACGGGGATTGAGACACGTGGGAGTGAGACACGTGGGGAGTGAGACACGGGGGAGTGAGACACGGGGAGTGAGACACGTGGGGAGTGAGACACGGGGAGTGAGACACGTAGGGGAGTGAGACACGGGGGAGTGAGACACAGGGGAGTGAGACACGTGGGGGAGTGAGACACGTGGGGAGTGAGACACGGAGAGAGACACGGAGTGAGACACGGGGGAAGTGAGACACGGGGGAGTGAGACACGTGGGAGTGAGACACGGGGGAGTGAGACACGGGGAGTGAGACACGTGGGAGTGAGACACGGGGGAGTGAGACACGGGGGAGTGAGACACGTGGGAGTGAGACACGTGGGAGTGAGACACGTGGGGAGTGAGACACGTGGGAGTGAGACACGGGGGGAGTGAGACACGGAGTGAGACACGTGGGAGTGAGACACGGAGTGAGACACGGGGGAGTGAGACACGTGGGAGTGAGACACGGAGTGAGACACGGAGTGAGACACGTGGGGAGTGAGACACGGGGAGTGAGACACACGGAGTGAGACACAGGGGAAGTGAGGACACGTGGGAGTGAGACACGGAGTGAGACACGGAGTGAGACACGTGGGGAGTGAGACACACGGAGTGAGACACAGGGGAGTGAGACACGTGGGAGTGAGACATGGAGTGAGACACGGAGTGAGACACGTGGGGAGTGAGACACAGGGGTGTGAGACACGGGGAGTGAGACACGTGGGGAGTGAGACACGGGGGAGTGAGACACGGGGAGTGAGACACGTGGGGAGTGAGACACGTGGGAGTGAGACACGTGGGGAGTGAGACACGGGGGAGTGAGACACAGGGGAGTGAGACACGTGGGGAGTGAGACACGTGGGGAGTGAGACACGGAGAGAGACACGGAGTGAGACACGGGGGAGTGAGACACGGGGGAGTGAGACACGGAGTGAGACACGTGGGAGTGAGACACGTGGGAGTGAGACACGTGGGGAGTGAGACACGTGGGGAGTGAGACACGTGGGAGTGAGACACGTGGGAGTGAGACAC